TATAAAAGCTGAGAACCTGTAGCAGAGAGGACGTGTTTCAAATGATCGTTTTTTTACTTTTTTGATGACTTGTAACACTAATACTATTTATTATTTAATTTTTTATTAAATAATTTTTAATCCTTTGAAAATTTCTTCATTGGATCTTTAATAAAATACTATGTGATATCTCATTAAATCCTAGGTGAAATCTTGCATGAAATCCTATGTCAATTCCGATATAAAATCCTATGTGAAATCCCTTGTAAAATTCCAAGTGGATTCCCATGTAGGGATATTCAATAAGGCGGATAATGTTTTTCACATGGGATTTGGTTTAGGATTTGACATGGGAAAATCATTATAAATAAATGATACTGTTTTTCACTTGGGGGTTGACATGGGAAAATAATTATAAATAAATGATACTGTTTTTCACATGGGATTCGGTTTAGGATTTGACTGGGAAAAACATGTGGGATTTGATATGGTTTTATGCATAGATGAACTGTTCAAATTCCCCATGTCTATTCCTAACTAAAATCCTGTCTCAATTTCCCATATGGTTTGACATGGGAAACCACATGGTAAACCACGTGGTTTCCTTCATGGAAGTAGGGTTTTACATGGTTTTTGACATAGGATCCCATGTGGTTTCCCATATGGGGATTTTCAATAGGGTGGTTTTTCAGTGGTTCTTTGACGGTATCTGCTTGAAAAACCAACGCGTCGGTATCTAATTCGGTTCTGGGTAAGACTCCGTCAAAAATATCACGATTTGCAAGGGGTCTTCGGATTAATTCGCCATTTGGCGAAATTATAGTAATTATGAGTAGTTAATGTACCAAAATTTTTTTTAAAATTTTCAAAATTGTAAAAGTTACGCCATATTGAATTTTTTGACACTTATTTTTTTTAATATTAATAATTATTTCCGAAGCCGTTCATCGGATTTTAATAAAATTTAAATATGTTATACCTGAAATCATACCTTTTAAGACTGTTGTGTAAAAAGAAAAGACATTTTCATTTTTGACCAAAAAAAATCCAAAAATTTTTTGCACCGTTTTTACTCGAAGGGGACCGATTTTTGAGTAGTTTTCGATGTATAATAAAATATTCCTTATAATTTCACCTTTATTTCAAAACCAAGAAAACTATGGAGACTTTAATAGTTTTCGAGATATCGCAATTTTCGTGAACGCGTGCAGCGTTCTAGTGCTGGCGCAGCGCCGCACGGCTCTACGCTATTGGGCATCGTGCCTCGCTATAGCTCACTGTATAATAGGGTACTGCTGCGCGCAAGCACTCTTGTTTACGTATGTCACTCGTTGCTAGTCTTTCATTTTAAAGAATAAGCTAATTAATGATGCATTAGCATTTAAATAATATAACGTATTATTTATTATTCTCTAACATCGCTCTTCATTTATTTTATATTTAGTAATTTTTTCTGGAAATATTATTTTTAGTTTCGTCGCTGTTTCATTTCATTTCGTATTTTTTACCATTAATTACTAATGCCACAAAAGCAATCCTTTAATCCTTGTAAAAGGAAACCATACGGTTTGGTTGATCCAAAAAACCTCCGCCTAATTTCTTAAATCTATTTTTATTTCTAACTACCATATTTTTGTCCCAAGAAAGCAAAAATAAAATTAGTAAAAAGTCAGGGAGAAGTCAGGGAATATTTTTCTCAATCCTTGTTATAGCAGGGTGTCTATAGACACCCTGGTAAACAAGAGTGCTTGCGCGCAGCAGTGCTCAGTACAGTACACGCGTTCACGAAAATTGCGATATCTCGAAAACTTAAACTTATCAAAGTCTCCATAGTTTTCTTGGTCTTAAAATAAAGGTGAAATTATAAGAAATATTTTATTATATATCGAAAACTACTCGAAAATCGGTCCCCTCCGAGTAAAAACGGTTTAAAAAAATTTTTGGATTTTTTTTGGTCAAAAATAAAAATTTCTTTTCTTATTACACAACAGTCTTAAAAGGTATGATTTCAGACATAACATATTTAAATTTTATTAAAATCCGATAAATGGCTTCGGAAATATTAATATTTAAAAAAATAAGTGTCAAAAAATTCATTATGGCGTAACTTTTACAATTTTGAAAATTTTAAAAAATTTTTTGGTACATTAACTACTCTTATCGAGTAATATAATTTTGCCAAATGGCCAATTAATCCGACGACCCCTTGCAAATCGTGATATTTTTGACGGAGTCTTACCCTTCTCTGAGCTTTCGGATTGTATGCTTTCAATATCGGTCGATTAATTAATTTAATTTTTAACTCGGAAAATGCTTTTTTACAATCGGTATTCCAATCAAATTTAGTATTGTCTTTCAATAGATCACTAATTGGCGTAGCAATTGTCGCAAAATCTTCTGTGAATCGCCTAAAAAAGCTCGCCAATCCAAGGAACTGTCGCACTTCGTGTTTTGTTGTTGGAGTTAGAAATTTTCCAATCGCTAAAACTTTCCATTCCCCTGGTTTATCTTCCCCATTTCCGATGACATAACCTAAATATTCTACGCTTTTTACCCCAAACGTACATTTTTTAAGTTCAATGTCAATTTAGCATCTTCTAAAAGCTGTAAAATTTCCTCTAATTTTATCAATAATGAATCCCAATTATTTGCGTAAATACAGATGTCATAAAAAAAATTGAAAACCAAACCTTTTCTTTTTGCGACTCCTAATACAGATCCATCAACTTAGCAAAATATTTTGGTGCATTGGCCAGACCAAACATAGAGCGTTCGAATTTGCCCGTTCCCGATTCTGTAATAAAAGCTGTCAAATTTTTTGATTCTTCCGATAACGGCATGTGTAAATACCCACTGAACATATCGAGTTTAATGAAAATAGTCGCTCCTACTAAAAATATTCTAATAAATCGTCAAAATTCGGGATGGGATAATTAATCGGAATTGTAGCTTTATTCACTCATCTAACGTCTAAAACTACTCTAGGAGTACCGTCAGATTTTCTTACAAGAAAAGCCAGACTAACGAATTCCGCGTCAGTTTCCGTCACTATTCCCGCTGATTTATATTCTTTCAGTAACTTCCCAGATAACAAAATGCGCGTTGTGTGCTGCTAATATCATCTGCACGCGTGCCGATTTATCCGCACTATGCGCGTTCACTGGACCACTCAGATGCGTCATCATATGCGATCCATAACTGTCGCATATTGTGATGGGCACATGCGTGACGGTATAATGCGAATAAATTATATTTATACTTCAGCCTTATTTGAATTAAATAAAAAGAAAAGATTATTGACATTAGTAATTTTTTTTAAATTAAAATGTTATTTATAAAAACGATTTTAATTTAATATTTCAGTACAATTTTGGAATTGAAATTGTTAAAAACTTCCAAATTCTTTTTTTGAGGTTATATCTAATACAACAAAAATATATATGTACTTTAAACAAATTAAATTTAACTTTCTTATTTTGCTGCAGTACTAAAAATTAAATCCACAATAATTCCTCACAATAATATCGCAATAAAAAACAATAAAAAATGAAATCACAATAAAAACTTATTTTGATAACACACCACAAACAATGCTGTCGCCATTATAAAATGTGTGATTGCCGATACGGGTGGTTGCGCATCATTAATTGCATGCGTATTAAGTGCAGTTCACTGCACACGCATTCACAGCATTCGCACTGTGGATGGTAAAATGCGTATGGATTGACTCTTCTAGCGAGTCGCACTTGTGAACGGAACATGCTTATCATTTTGTATCACAGGCGCTTACGAAATGCAGTTCACAACACTCGCATTATTACCAGCGTCACAGACGATAGTAAGATGCGTATATGAGCCGACTCATCTGGTAAGTCGCAGTTAGTGCAAGAAACATGCGTTTAAATGCGACGCACGATTGTTATCTGGGTTATTTAAATCGGTTTTGTCCTCGGGCAGCTCCATACGAAAAGCAAATAGTGGATCACCGATTTTTCTTAAAGTTTGTAATTTTGTAGTATATTTTTGTAGTATATGTAGTATATGTATATTTTTATTTCGAAAACTATTGATTCTACAAGAAAAAGTCATTTATTCAAAATTGTAGAGAAAATGTCAATTTTTTATAATATTAAAAAAAAAGTTAAGAAAAATTAATTTTTCAATAATTTGCTTAAACAATAATTTTTTATTGTTAAAAAAGAGCAAAGGACATCATGGAATTTTCTAGAAAAACTATTTTCTAAAAATTTGAACCTTCCTTAATAAGTGGTTAAATTTTTAAAGAAGTGATTTTTGATGTTTTTCAGAAAAAATTTTTGAAGTATGCGCTACGAGTTTTTGTGCGTTGCGCTAACTAAGCAGCGCCTATATCAGTGTATTTTAAAAGATGATATGACCTTTACTGCTCGCTCCTAATACATTTATTAATTATATACGTATATATATTATTATTATAAACAGTTTAACAATATATTTTTAACTTTTTTATAAACATTATTTTCCTTTTTATTAACCCATTAATGCCCATGGGCACAGGAACGCAGATATAAAAAGTAACTATTGGGATCCTAGCGTAGGGTCTAATGATAATTTTTGACGTTAAAAATTAAAAAAAAAAATTTTTAAACAATTTGTTATAAACAAATGAAGAAAAATTGATTTTCATAAAAAACTTATAGCGCCATTCGATTCGACGCAAAAAACTACTACGAGAACGTATATTACATAATTTTTAAAAAAAGACATATTGTTGTAAAAATGTTATATTAGCCTGCGTTTATACTATATGAGGTAGAAGGATCGTTTTTGAAGTTTAAAATTTTTTTAAACAAAATTAGTTTAATTAGGTGGGTTTCGTGCCGACTGTAGTCGTAATCATACGTGTTTGTGTGTCGCTCTCGAATTTATAAGCGAAGGCTAATATTAATTACTATTGTTTGAGCAGTGTAATTTTCAAAATCGGGCTTTTGTGAAGTTGATTGTTAACGGTGGTGTGAAATCTAGTGGGTGCATCCTGCAAAATGGCGGAGGCATTACTTCGGGAGATCCGTAGTGACATTAAGGAGGTGAAAGGGAGTAATGAAAAAATCCATCGAGACCTGGAAAAAATCAACACAACACTTTCCCTACAAAGCCAAAAAATATCAAATATTGAGAGCAAAACCGTCGATTTAGACAACAAGCAAAAAATCTACGAGAAAGCACTCAGAAACTGTAACTTAATTCTGTTTAAATTGCGAGATTTGGAAGAACGTGAAAACAATACGTTATCCAAGGTTCTTGAAATTGTCAACAAAGTCGGCTTAACAATACCAGAGGTCTGCTTTGTCTCGAGCTATAGAATAGGCAAATTTCATGATGGAAACAATAGGCCTATTATTATCAAATTAATAGCTCCTAGATGGAAAAAACCATTCTTCGAAAAAGTAAAGGAATTTACAAAACTTGGTCTCGCAATCGCTAATGACATACCGAGGGAGGAGAGGGACTTGATGAAACCTTTGCTAAAGGCCAGATACTTATTAAAAAACCAGGGTAAAGAGGAGGTTGTCATCAAAGGTTCTAATCTGTACGTGAACAACAAAATGTTATCGGAGGAAGAGATAAAGAACGTCTTGGACTCAGAAATCGCAGGAGGCAAAGTGGAAGAGAACACTACAAATGTACCGGACAAAAACAAGACCAAAAAAGGAGGAGGTCGTCCTATTGGATCAAAAAATAGCTCTCAATCCACTAGCTCCAAAGGTTCAATGGATGATTTCATAATCACAACTCCAAGGTCAACCAGGTATGGAAAGCGGATGGAATGACGTGCAGACAACAAAATGCTTACTGGTGCTGAGAATATAAAGGGAAATTCATCATTAACTAATCGCAGCCGAACGGAACCCAACATTCGTCTCATCTACTGGAACTGCTTTGGCTTCAAGAATATTATTGACATCTCTGAGTATGTAAATGAATATGATATCTTATGCCTTACAGAAACATGGTTGACTTCGAATAAAGTAAGTGCCTCATGGCTTTTAAATTATGATTTTGTATTCTCGTATGCGACAAAAGAAAAGTGTAAAGGGCGTGCTAAGGGCGGCATTCTCATTGCTTATTGTAAGAAACATTATAAACATAAAATAATAGAAACAAATAATGAAATGTTATTGTTACAAATTTTTGCGAAAAATATTGAAATTATAGTCGCTGTTTTGTATTTAAATCCATTAATGGATATTTATGTTTTTTTGGAAAAATTTAATAGTATATTAGAGGAATTAATTGATAGATTCCCGCATGTTCCAATACTGGTGGGTGGGGATTTCAATGCACAAATCGGGGAACTGGATTTTGACAGCAATGTAATATTTAATAAAAATCTTTTATCAATGAGAAAGTCGCTGGATAAGAATGTTAATTCTAGGGGTCGAAAAACTATCGAGGTAATGAATAATAATAATTTTTCAATCTTGAACGGTAAATTTGCTGGGGATAGTCCCGGTCAATATACGTATCACGGGGTGTTTAGATCGAGTGTCATCGATTACGTGTTTTGTGATTTTTGTCATATAGATTTAATTAATGATTTTAAAATACTAAATGTCGCAACTCGTTCGGATCATTTGCCATTATGTGTCGAGTTAAATGCAATAATGAAAAAAACCTGTAGTATTGAAAATAATGTATCGAATTCTTTTACTCCACTAAGATGGAATAATGAATTTACTGATAACTATGTACATATGATGGGGCATAATCAAAGTTTAAAAAAGGATAGCGGGAATGTTGAAAAGGTTAATACAATACTCGTCGATACAATTAAGAGAGTGGGGCAAGAAGCTGTAATGTTAACAAAGAGTGGGAAATCAACGACTACGATAGCTTATTACTGTAATAAGCCATGGTATGACTCGATGTGTGTGGGGGCAAAAAGAGAGGTGGAAAGATGTCTTAGACGCTGTAAAGCCTCAAAATTTGATAATAAAGATATAGTAGAGTATAAAGCGCGTAAAATTGATTATAAAAAAATGCTAGAAGAGAAGGAGAAATTATTTTTTAAAAATTTATTGGAAGCTATAAGCAATAGTAGAAATTCTAAAACTTTTTGGCAATTAATTAATAAATATAGACCAAAATCAAACTCAACCTGCACTATCAGTCTTAACCAATGGCATGATTATTTCTGTACTCTTTTTTTACCGCGGGTCGAGTCATCCATGTTAGGATTTAATAATAATTACCACCCGTTAATGGATGATCCGATCACGCATGAGGAACTTGTAAATGTATTAAGAAACTGTAAAATAAATAAATCACCGGGCCCAGACGGTATTAGTTACGAATTTTATAAAAATCTGCCTTTAAACTGGGTTTACTACATTGAAAATTTATTTAATAAAATTATGTCAAATGAGAAGGTTCCTCATTCGTGGTCGGAGATGCATGCTTGTATGCTGCATAAAAAAGGGGACACTGGTGTACCTGAAAACTATAGATGCATTTCTTTGACAAATTGTTTAACAAAATTTTTTACGCAAATACTGAATGAACGTTTAACGAGGTGGGTTGAAGAAAGCGATTTGCTTCCTGAGTTTCAATCCGGTTTTCGAAAAAAGGGGTTGCATTGATAACATATTTGTCCTAAATTCATTGTCACAAATCTACTTAAATAAAACAAAAGGAAAGCTTTATGTATTGTTTGTTGATTTCGTCAACGCATTTCCCTCAATCAGGCATGATCTTTTATGGCGTAAATTATTGGCGTGTGAAGTGAGTCTCAAATTTATAAAAATCTGTAAAAGCATCTACGACAACGCAACTATAGCAGTTCGATCCTCTCAGGGTGTGACGGAAGCGGTAGAGGTCACGGAGGGTGTCCTCCAGGGGGAAACTCTGAGTCCTTTGCTTTTTTCTTTGTTCTTGAGTGATTTTGAGTCGTACTTTCGAGCACGCGGAGTGGAAGGGGTTTCGGTAGACCACAGAAGTGATATATTTTGCACGGCATATGCGGATGACCTCGCAATTTTCGCAATCAACCCTAGTGACCTAAAAAAGAAAATCAAACATCTAGAGCGATATTGTAAAAATAATGGTCTCTCTGTAAATAAAAAAAAACGAAGATCATGATTTTTCATAAGGGTAGACTGCAGGAAAAGTATAACACTTTTTATTGTGAAAAAGTACAAATTGAAATTGTGAAAACTTTTTGTTATCTCGGGGTAGATTTTTCAGCATCAGGTTTATTTCATGCACAATTAGAAAAAGCTAAAAAATCAGTTAAAATAGCTTTAAATTCCATTATGGGTTTATTACATGGTACAAGGGTTTCTGACTGGAACGTTAAGGAAAAGTTAATTATCTCCCTGGTCACCAGCGGCCTGTTTTACGGAATAGAGATATGGGGAATTCGTTATTTATCAGAAATAGACTCAATCCAAACGTCAATTTACAAAAGATTGTTAAATTTACCAGCTTATTGTCCGAATTACGCAGTAAGACGGGAAGTTGGTGTACCTCCACTTTCTTGCGCCGTGATCAAAAGAATCATTGGGTGGGTTGAAAAACTGAATGGTATGAATAATGATAGATTCCCTAAAATATGCTTCAACCGTCTTGTGACTATGTTAGTTGAAAACTCCTTGGTAGATAGATACAACTGGTTTTCACGATTAACCGGGATAATCAGGTCAGTTGACTCAAGTATTTCTCCTTCAATCTACGTTATAGTCAATCAAAAGAAAGAAGTAATTAAAAAATATACAAAAAGTCGTGGATTGAAGGATGAGGAGAGAGTCAGGTGTTCAAGTAGTCTCGAAGTGTACCCTTCATTGGCTTTGGAGCCGGTCCGTCAAATTTATCTTAACTTTAAGCTTCCATTCGACAAAATAAGGGCGATCGCTCAATGTAGATTAGCAAGTAATATAGTGGGAAAAATTGCAATGGGAAATAAGAAATTCAAGTATAATCCAAACGAAAATTGTGATCTTTGTTACCAACCGAAACTAGCTAGCTTATATCATACCCTCGTGGAGTGTACGTGTTTTAAAGACCTAAGAAAAGATTTTTTATAAAAATCAATTTTTCTTCATTTGTTTATAACAAATTGTTAAAAAAAATTTTTTTTTTAAAATTTTTAACGTTAAAAATTATTATTAGACCCTATGCTAGGATCCCAATAGTTACTTGTTATATCTGCGTTTCTGTGCCCATGGGCATTAATGGTTTAAAAAAGGAAAATAATGTTTATAAAAAATTTAAAAATATATTGTTAAACTGTTTATAATAATAATATATACGTATATAATTAATAAATGTATTGGGGGCGAGCAGTAAAGGTCATATCATCTTTTAAAATACACTGATATAGGCGCTTCTTAGTTAGCGCAACGCACAAAAACTCGTAGCGCAAACTTCAAAAATTTTTTTCTCAAAAACATCAAAAATCACTTCTTTAAAAATTTAACCACTTATTAAGGAAAGTTCAAATTTTGAGAAAATAGTTTTTCTAGAAAATTCCATGATGTCCTTTGCTCTTTTTTTAACAATAAAAAATTATTGTTTAAACAAATTATTGAAAAATTAATTTTTCTTAACTTTTTTTTAATATTATAAAAAATTGACATTTTCTCTACAATTTTGAATAAATGACTTTTTCTTGTAGAATCAATAGTTTTCGAAATAAAAATTCTCAAAAAAAGTCATTTTTTTCAGTTTCCGATTTTCAAATCTAAATATCTTGCAAAAAAATTTTTTTTTTTGCAAAACTGTTTGGCACAGTTATTTAGTACCCCAAGTACTACAAAATTACAAACTTTAAGAAAAATCGGTTATCCAACATTTGCTTTTCGTATGGAGCTGCCCCCTCTAAATTTAATTTATATAGCTTCGCTTGAATTAATCTTGATCCTTCTTTCAATTTAATATCCATTGTAATTTTATCTGTGCATCCTATTTTAAAAATAAATAAAAATAAAATAAATAAATAAACTGGCGACCTACGCCAGCCCCGACCCACTAAAACCCTTAACGTTTCTTTTAAAGCCCTTTATCCACCCTCGGAACTGTCGTAAGACTTTAGCCTTCGAGGGCGGCGCGGCGGCGCTCCAAGTCTGTCGCTACTGCGGCCTTGTTCCTATCCTGCGGTTCTCCTGCGTCAATAGTTAAAATTTAAAACAATTTCAATGTCAAAGAATACAGAAACAAATGTTAAAAACTGAAAAGTTAAAATTGTAAACAGACATAAAAACAGAAATTAAACAATTAAACATATATATTATATATAGATCAAAAGGTAAAATTGTAAGAGGACAAGTTAAATAAAAACACAATCAAATAAAGAAACACATATATAAAAGTGAGAAGAATAAAAATGTAAAAGGACAGTAAAAACCCAAGAAAGTAATTTAAATAAATAAAACAAGAAATAAAAAATTATTCGCTTCTTTTAATAATTCTTATTTACTTTTGGTCCTTGCAAGAGTCTTCTTCGCCTCCTCAAGGGCCGTCCTGAAGACTCTGCATCCTCCGCTGCCTGCAATATGGGTGGTTGACACCTTATTGCCAAACTTTTCAGTGCACAAAAAGCAGCTTGGGCCTCTTTTACAGTTTGCGAACTTATGATCGACTTCTCCGCACTTGAAGCACGCAGTCGATCTGTCCGCCGCCTTAAATTTTTTTCCTATGTGGACATAGTCTAGGCATCTATGACACCTAGTGACCATTACTTTATGCGTCCCACTTCTTGCATCCTTTTCGCTTCCTCTGGGTCGGTGATTACAACCGCGAGCTTCATCGCTCTCTGATTTGGTCCAAGGACCGTCACCTTCCTGCTTCCTGGCTTTTTCAGGACATTTTTCCAACACTTGTTAAACTTCTTCTCCTTGGGTAAGGCAATCCAAGTCGCGGATCTCCAGCGTTACCCTTCGATCCACAGACTATACCTTACCCATGCCTTCCACCGCTTCAGAAACCTCCGCGGTGAAGGCCTCTTTATTGGAGTCACCTTTGATTTTAATCAGGAGGTCTCCTCTTTTTGTAGCCTTTGCAACTACGACCTTTGTGTGGCTAACGTCCGGATCAACCTCCTTACGAAGCTTACCCAAATCGTCGGCAAACGTCCGACCTTGAGCCACTCGGATGACCATTGTCGATCCCCTCGCTGTCTTTTGCTCCATTTTTTGACATTCTGGCTTCAGTTTATCCTCCGCAATCTTGTCCACATTCTTTGGAGGTGCTTCCTCCTTTTTTTTCATAGTTGCGGCTTGAGTCCCCTCTGGACTGCCAGAACTACGTCTTCTCTTCGGCGCGTCTTTGATTGCACACCTTAACTGTCGTTTGTAGCGACGCTCTCGCCTCTTCTTTCTGTCCTCAGGGTGAAGTCCCATGGCACCGTTTTGCGTTGCGTTTTGTAACTAGGCCATGAGTGTAAGAGAGATGGAGATATATGTTGGCTATATTTGCACTCATGGCCTAGTTACAAAACACAACGCAAAACGGTGCCATGGGACTCCACCCTTACGGTTACCTTCTGCCATGCCGATAGTACATCCTAGGTACATATCCGCTTCGTCACAAGAGTTACTCATCCTTGCTTCTTCCTTCCTTAATCGAAGGCTGTCCTCGCGATTCTCTCTAATCGCCTCGTCAACCACTTCCGAGTGTACGGCAGTGATGCCAGAAACCCTACGCGATTCACCCCCACCATAGCGCCAAACTTACTCCTTCCAACTTCTACTAACACAAAGATACATCACGAGTTTAGTCTCGTAGGTGTGTCTCTTTTTCGTTTTTCATGAAAGCACGCGGCAGACGCGGCGCGAGATTTGAAAATCATACGTATCAAATAGTGATTATTAAGGGAAATGTTGTAAAAAAATTATTTATTATTATTTAATAAATGTATAATTCATTATTAAATAATTTTTATATAATTAATTAATTAGTTTTATAATTATAATCAACTAATTATGTCTGTATTTCTTAATTAATTATTAGTGATTAATTACTAAATTCAGTACAAATTAATATAAATTGCTGAAACCAAATTTAATAAGAAATTAATAATAATTTTAATTATTAACAAAAAAAATCCACAAATAATAAATAATCAATTGAATTAGTTGAAAATAACTAATTACTAGTAAAATCATGACTGATTTTTTGCTTCAGCAATTAGTGTAAAATAATTAATTATGAGTAGAAAGTTATTTAATAGTAAATAAGTACCTAAAAAAATAGTTAAATTACGAAAATTTAATTAGTTAGAAAAATTTTCAGTTAATTTTATTATAAAATTGAATTAAAATTAAATTACTTTTATTTTAATTTTATTATAAAATGAAATTAAAATAAAATTACTTTAATCTTATTATAAAATTTAATTTCTTTTATTTTACAAATTTAAAAATTTTGAATTTACAAATTAACAATTTTATTTTGCAAATATGAAATTTTTTTATTTACAATCTAAACGTGAATTTAAATAATAATTCGCCATTATTAACAATTTTAGTAGTAAAATATTATTATTTAAATCAGTGACTAACTTTTTACTATTAAATTAGTTATTTTTAACAAATTAAAATTTAAAGAATAAATTTTCATTTATATTAAAGTTTTTAGGATTTTCTTTAATATTGATATTTTTTAATTATTAAATTATTTTTTTATTTTTTTAAATAAAAAAAGTGCAACAAATTTTTAATTAATTTCTTAATATAAATACTAATTAAAAAAATATTTTTAAAACTAAACAGTACTTTTTATTTTTCAACATTTTGTTAATTTTTGGAATTAATAATTATTAAAAATGTAATAAAAGAACAAAAAATCAATTACAATTTATGACACTAAATAATACTATTTTAATATTAATTAATTATTCTAAATTATAATATTAATAAAATTAATTTTCGGCCTCAAAAATAAAAATTTATTACACGAATCCACATTTTCTAAGGAATTCCACTTGACATGTAAAAATAATGTAACATTAACAAATAAGCAAAAAAATCATTAAACAATTAATTTTAATTATATTTATAATATAATTTTGTCCAGTGTAACAAAAATGTTTTAAAAACTTGATTTTTTATTTAACATAACCTCACTTTTTCGAGTTTTTTCTGACTTTGAAGCTTCATAATGAAATATTAATTATGTTTAAACTAAATGTTTTTTCTAAATGTACGTGTTGAGGAGTAAATTGTCGAAAGGTATAGAAACTGATTTTATTTTGAAATGAGGAAAACAAAAGTTATTTAAAAAATACTGAAACCGTAGAGGGAATCCTTCCCTAGGTGTGCGACGGAGGGTTAAAATTAATTAATACTCTTTAAATTTTAATTTGTTAAAAATAACTAATTTAATAGTAAAAGTTAGTCACTGATTTAAATAATAATATTTTACTACTAAAATTGTTAATAATGGCGAATTATTATTTAAATTCACGTTTAGATTGTAAATAAAAAAATTTCATATTTGCAAAATAAAATTGTTAATTTGTAAATTCAAAATTTTTAAATTTGTAAAATAAAAGAAATTAAATTTTATAATAAGATTAAAGTAATTTTATTTTAATTTCATTTTATAATAAAATTAAAATAAAAGTAATTTAATTTTAATTCAATTTTATAATAAAATTAACTGAAAATTTTTCTAACTAATTAAATTTTCGTAATTTAACTATTTTTTTAGGTACTTATTTACTATTAAATAACTTTCTACTCATAATTAATTATTTTACACTAATTGCTGAAGCAAAAAATCAGTCATGATTTTACTAGTAATTAGTTATTTTCAACTAATTCAATTGATTATTTATTATTTGTGGATTTTTTTTGTTAATAATTAAAATTATTATTAATTTCTTATTAAATTTGGTTTCAGCAATTTATATTAATTTGTACTGAATTTAGTAATTAATCACTAATAATTAATTAAGAAATACAGACATAATTAGTTGATTATAATTATAAAACTAATTAATTAATTATATAAAAATTATTTAATAATGAATTATACATTTATTAAATAATAATAAATAATTTTTTTACAACATTTCCCTTAATAATCACTATTTGATACGTATGATTTTCAAATCTCGCGCCGCGTCTGCCGCGTGCTTTCATGAAAAACGAAAAAGAGACACACCTACGAGACTAAACTCGTGATGTATCTTTGTGTTAGTAGAAGTTGGAAGGAGTAAGTTTGGCGCTATGGTGGGGGTGAATCGCGTAGGGTTTCTGGCATCACTGCCCTGCAGGGATTCCTGTTTTTGACGGTCGCTCATTATGTTCGTTTCTTTCTGTTTGGTTGTCCTTTAGTGAAAAGCCCCGCCACTACGGCAAGGTCTACCGAACATATTCAAGATGCCAGTCGTGTCTGGCAGCGAACCCACTTCTCTGAGCACATCAAAGAAATCAATCATGTCTGGCAGTGGACCCACTTTTCCCAGCCCATCAAAGAAATCAATGATGTTCGGCAGTGGATCCACTTCTCCCAGCACATCAAAGAAAACAATGACATTTGGAAGTGGATATGCTTCTCCCAGCACATCAAAGACATCGATGATGTTTGGTAGTGGATAACCATCGGCGGGACCTTTTCTTTCTTAAAACCATTGTTCATCATTTAAATTTGATTCCCGTATTAACCTTAATAAATTTTACTTCGCCGGGTTCAAGTTCAATAGACTCTGTTGCTTTTAACGAAAATCGTTTTCTATTCCTGTGTAATTTATATCTTGAAACTCGGTAAAAGGTCGACCCAAAATTACGTCGACTGCTTGTGCATCGTCTAGAACCACTCTAAACGTCAACATCTTTGGACGCAAATTTTCCATTTTCATCACTTCGTTAACTATTCCCGGAGACTCTACAACTTTATTTCCAAATCCCTCTAACACAGAATTTACTCGATTTATTTTCAAACTTTCGCGCAAAACTATTGTAGCTTTAATTGTGTTCACTGAAGCACTAATATTAATTTGTGCTTTTAATTTTGTTTTTCCGATTTCAATTTTTATCAAAATATACTGTTTTTATTTCCTCGATTTTCGGACCTTTTTTACTTGGACAACGCGAAGCTATATGTCCTGTATTTTTACAAAAATAACACGTTAATTCTTCTCGTTCTTTGTTACAATCGCGCGAAATACGCCCAACCCCTTTACAATATGCCCCAACCTTTACAAGGTTTTAAGGGGTAAGTGTAAAAACGCGGGGTAATTTTAAACATATATGTAGTCGTAAGTGATTCAAGCTAATAAACTTGTTACAATTTCAAGAAATTGTTTTAGGAAAGGAAAATAACAACTTTACACGAGAAAAAATGATGAATAGAGCTGTGCAAAATTCGAACCGAACCGAGTTTAGTTCGGTTTTAGGGCGCTGAAATGTCGAATGTCGGTTTTTCGACATTCGAACTAAGCTAACTCGAATGTCGACTTTCCGACATTCGAACTAGGCGAAAAAATTCGAACAGTTCGGTTCGAATTATTTTTGACAGCTCTAATGATGAAGGAAAAGAAAAAAAAGAAGGAAAATAAAATTGAATTATTGGCAAAAAATAAGATATTTTGTTGACATTTACCCCATTTGACTCTAATATAATTCAAAACTAATGTCCAAAATGCCACGTTTTGAAAATTTTTCCATTTTTAAAATTATGAGGTCCGTTTGATTACATAATTATAAGTTTTTTAATATATTATAAATCGAATAAGATGCTTTTAATATCTGGAAAATAAAAAGATGCATAAGATTTTTAATTCATCAAAATATAAAAATATTACTTAAGAAATAAAATGAAAGTGCAAAATAAAAATTGATGCAAATTCATTGATTTTAAAAATGAACTGCGAAAAAAATCGACAGAAAAATCAACAAAAAAAGGCCTGAAATAATAAACGAGAAACAAAAAGTTGAAAAAGAGCAGCTTCTTAAGCAAAAAAATTCAACGTTTCATTCGAAATAAAAAGATACGACAACGATGGATGAAAAAAAGAAGAGTAAAAAAAAGAAAGAAACGTAAAAAAGATTCAAATCATGCTGCATTAAAGCTAGAGTATCCTGACAAGAAAGTTTTTGATAATTTTTTAAATAATAAAAACCGAAAAGAAAGAAAAGCCTTTAACATTTTACAACGTAAAATTATTTATGATGTTTCAAGAAGAAACTGCAAAAAGAAAGGAAAGAAGGATCACACCATAAATGATTATGATGAAGAAAAAGAGAAGAATGATGATGAAGAAGAAGAGATGGATGATGATGAAGAAGACGAGAAGGAAGAAAGAGAGAACAAACTACTATTCGAACACTACTTGACAACCTTTTTATTGATAATGTTTGCGACAACGACATTTTAAATGGTATGAACGTGGAAA